CCAAAGAGAGTACAAAAGAATTCCCAAATTCGATGCACAAAAGAATAGGATATCATTAAATGAAAGGGTCTCACCACTTTCCTTACACAATGAACACACATGAGGAGATAGGCAAATATGTGGCCTTCTTTTCTGCAGCGTATCACAAGTGTTTACCTTACCAAAGAATATTTCCCAACAGAAGGTTTGGATCTTCGGGGGAATAGGCTTACACCAAATTTCTTTCACAGGGAAAATCCCACCTAGAAGGTTGGGGGAAGCAAGTACTTTGAAGAAAGAGGAGYAAGAAAAGAGGCCGTCTGGAGAGCCTACCCAGATTCTAAAGACTTCCAACAAAGGGTCCAAGTGGATTTGCCCTAGGGGGTCCAGCAATCAGATTAAAGATTTACACTCATTTTCCCTTAATCCCCTTCTAAAGCCCAAATTCCAATTCACACTGTTTGGAAACAATGATCCTAACATGGATATAGCTTCCCCCTTAAGGTTAGATAGCGCAAAGAGATCAGGGAATTGGTCTTTCAGTGGGGTTTCCCCTACCCAAAACGAAATTCTAGTACCTTGTCCCACATCAAACCGGATGGAATTGAGGAAAGTAGGGTAGATTTCATGAATTGCTTTCCTAGGAGAAGCTGAAGAACTGTGAGGGAAAACTTTTGCATCSCAACCATTTCCAGGCACCCCATGAATGCTCTCWACCACTTTGTGCCACAATTTGTCACCCTTAAAGGGAAACCTCCAAAGCCACTTACCTAGTAGAGTTGTGTTCCTTAAAAGGATGTTCCCAATTCCTAAACCCCCTTGTTCCTTAGGTTTACTAACCTGATCCCACTTGATCAAGTGATCCTTCCCTTCCCCTCCTGGGTCCCAAAGGAAATCTCTCATATACTTCTCTAGGCACCTTGCTACCTTGGAAGGGATTCTGAAAGGAAATAGGTGGGGAGGTTTGCTAGAGTGGCTCTAATCAAGGTTATTCTTCCACCCAAAGAAATGTAATTCCTCTTCCAAGGGCTA